ACAGCTTTGTTCCGATCGGCTCGGAGACCCTCAGTTCGTGGGGAAAATGTGCATTGAGGTTCCTGAAGGAATTGGGGGACAAATTGATCAGCGCTACAAAAGACCAGAGAGCAAAAAGTTTCTTGTTCCAGCGCCTCAGTGTTGCGATTCAGAGGGGAAATGCCTGTTGCGTCTTGGGCACTAGTCAAACTTCAGAGGAATTCGAGGAAGTGTTTGACTTGCAACAATGATCGAACCCGTCTGTGACATTCATCAATGTTTCCCATTGTTGTGTTTTTCAAGAGATCCATAACCTTTAATCACCTTTTTGCATTATTATTTTTGTATCAACCCATGTATATCTTATAACCATCAAATGCATAATAAAGCACAAAAATTAAAAAAGGAAGGGGGTGGTAGGAGAAAAGCACAGAAACTGTATTGGAGGGGATCTAAACATTCCCTCTAATGCGTTATGCGTGGTTTCCTCCGAGGCTAAGGGTCCCCCTTCTTCCAGCTAGAGGTGGTACTCCCTTCCATTATTATTATTATTATTATTATTATATATATATATATATATATATATATATATATATATATATATATATATATATATATATATATATATATATATATATATATATATATATATATATATATATATATATATATATATATATATATATATATATATATATATATATATATATATATATATATATATATATATATATATATATATATATATATATATATATATATATATATATATATATATATATATATATATAAGAGATGCAGTACTTTGTGCCGTACATCGCTATTTCCGGCCCCTCTACCCGTTCATACTATCGTGCTACAGTGGTGAGTCAAAACTGCTCTTTGGTGAACATGAAATCAGATCCTGTGAAGGTGTTCAGCAAGGTGATCCTCTTGCTCCCCTTCTTTTCTGCTTAGTCTTAAAAGAAATCACCGAAAGCTTGTCTAGCGAGTTCAACATCTGGTTTTTGGATGATGGCACTATAGCTGGCACCGTAGACCATCTCTTGGCAGATATCAGGAAAATAAGGGAGCAAGAAGTAAGCCTGGGTCTTGTCCAGAACCCTTCCAAGTGTGAAGTAGTCTCTTCCAACCCAGACATCGTAGCTAGAATAAGGTCTGTCTTGCCTGGAGCCCATGTCATTAGGGCCGAGAACAGCACCCTCCTTGGAGCCCCCCTCGGGCCTAACGCCATTGAGGAGATCCTTGACAAGAAAATCGCAGACCTTTGGAGGATGGAAGACAGAATAGGTGACATCGATGCCCACGATGCTTTTTATCTCCTCACCAAATGCCTATCCCTTCCGAGGCTAACCTACTTTCTGAGGTGCGCCCCATCTTACGACAGCCGAAAGCTTGAAGAGTATGACCTCTGAAGACTGAATATACTGAAGGCCATGCTGGAAAAAGTTGTTAACCTCTCCCTCAACGAATGCCAGTGGAAACAAGCCACTCTTCCTGTTAGGCTCGGTGGCTTGGGTGTCCGCACTGCTACCCAAATTGCTGTCCCAGCCTTCCTGTCTTCCTCCTCAGCATCAGATGACCTGGTTAAGGAAATTCTACCTGACACCCTGAGTGATGTAGCGGGGATACAGGACCCCCACTACACGGAATGCGACACGAAATGGGGTGCCATGGCAGACCCAGCACTCAGACCAGCCATGCCGAAAGCCAAGAAACAATCCAGTTGGGACAGCCCCATTGTAGACAAAGAAGCCACAGCTTTGCTGGAGGCAGCAACAACCCCCAGTGATCGTGCACGCCTCACAGCTGTGCAGGATCCCCATGCAGGGGACTTCCTTTTGGCAGTCCCTATGTCTGCGACAGGCACACGTCTTGATCCGCAGGAGCTCCGTATTGCAGTCGCTCACCGTCTTGCTGCCCCTATCCACACTGTTCATAGGTGTATTTGCGGCGAGGCAGATGCTGACGAATATGGATTGCATGGCCTGCACTTTGGAAAATCTGGTGGTTGGCACACTAGACACGACGAAGTCAATGACATCATTAAAAGGAGCCTTGCCTCTGCTCAGTGTCCAGCGGAGAGAGAGCCCCACAACCTACTGAACCGTGACTCTGTTAGCTTTGCCGGCCGACCAGACGGAATCACACTGCGACCGTGGAAGGGTGGCAGACAGTTGGCATGGGACTATACTTGTGTATCCACCCTGGCAACCACATACATCAACCTCTCTGCCGGCACAGCAGGAGCCGCGGCGACACGCAGAGAAAGAGACAAGTCAGCCAAGTACAGGCAATTAGATCATCGGTACAACTTCGTTCCAATAGGGTCTGAGACCCTAGGCCCATGGGGAGAGAGAGCAAGAAGGTTTCTTAAGGATCTTGGTTCCAAGCTCATTGACACCACAAGGAACCTAGAGCAGCAAGTTTTCTCTTTCAGCGCCTCAGTGTCGCGATCCAGAGGGGGAATGCTCGCTGCATCCTCGGTTCCTGCCCGGCGTCGGAGGAGTTCGAGGAAATCTACAGCCTCTAGGAAGCGAACTTTTTTTGTGTCCTCTTAATGTTAATTTTTTGTATAAAATCAGATATGTAACTGTATAACCTTGCATAATAAAGTGTACACCATAAAAAAAGGGGTGTGGTAGGAGAAGCGAACACTGTTCATATCTGAATGCTCTGTGTTCCCTTCTCTGAGGCTGTGGGTCCCTATAATTGCACCAGAGGTGGTACCCCCCTATATATATATATATATATATATATATATATATATATATATATATATATATATATATATATATATATATATATATATATGTCGTACCTAGTAGCCAGAACGCACTTCTCAGCCTACTATTCAAGGCCCGATTTGCCTAATAAGCCAAGTTTTCATGAATTAATGTTTTTTCGTCTACCTAACCTACCTAACCTAACCTAACCTAGCTTTTTTTGGCTACCTAACCTAACCTTACCTATAAATATAGGTTAGGTTAGGTTAGGTAGGGTTGGTTAGGTTCGGTCATATATCTACGTTAATTTTAACTCCAATAAAAAAAAATTGACCTCATACATAGAGAAAAGGGTTGCTTTATCATTTCATAAGAAAAAAATTATAGTAAATATATTAATTCAGGAAAACTTGGCTTATTAGGCAAATCGGGCCTTGAATAGTAGGCTGAGAAGTGAGTTCTGGCTACTAGGTACGACATATATATATATATATATATATATATATATATATATATATATATATATATATATATATATATATATATATATATATTTTATATATATACTAGCTGTACCCGGCCATGCGTTGCTGTGGCTCAGCAACGCATGTGCGTTTCTGAGCCACAGCAACCTTCCCCTGTCTCCTAGTCATCCCCACCATTCCCCCTGTCCCTCGTTCTCCCAACCATTCCTCACTCCCACGTCCCTTTTTCCTCCCCATCATCCCCCTCTCCATCATCCCTCGTCCTCCTAACCTTTCCCACTCCACCATCCCCTTGTCCTCCCCATTATCTCCCACTCCCCCGTCCCCTCGTCCTCCCCCGTCCCCTTGTCCTCCCCATTATCTCCCACTCCCCCGTCCCCTCGTCCTCCCCCGTCCCCTTGTCCTCCCCACTATCTCCTACTTCCCCGTCCCCTCGTGCCCCCTACTATTCTCCCCCCTCTCCCATCTTCTAGTCCTTCCCACCATTCCACACTCCCTCGTCATTTGATGATCAAATGACCTGATGTTCCCATCAGAAAATTGGGAACATCAACTGGTCTGGGTCTAGATTCACGAAGAAGTTACGCAAACACTTACGAGCCTGTACATCCTTTCTTAATCTTTGGCGGCTTTGTTTACAATTATTAAACAGTTAATGAGCTCCGACGCACCAGGAGGCTGTTTATAACAATAACAACAGTTGATTGGCAAGTTTTATGCTTGTAATCTGTTTAATATATGTAACCAAAGCCATCAAAGATTCAAGAACGATGTACACGTTCGTAAATACTTGCGTAACTGCTTCGTGAATCTGGCCCCAGCTGTTCCCATCACTGAAGTATAAGAAAAACAGTTCAAAAAACAAAATGAAAAATAATGAAAACGTAAAAAAATAAGCTATACTCACGAAATGAACGGTATGGTAAACAAAACAGCTCAATTCCAACGCAATGTCACACAAATAATTAACTCAAAATGAACATAAATCAAAATTTATGATAATTCAATTTATCAATGAAATCGGAAACATTGAAATGGAATCATAACATATTTAGTATAGCATGTGTTCGTCGTATGTGCAACAGATGGCGCTGTTTAAGAAAAAAACGCATGTTTTTACCTGTCACAGGACTGGCATCTATATAGCAGGTATATCAAAACACAAGTGAATTCGAATGGATTGTTGTGTAAACAATTCAAAGCAATCGGTGAAGAACTTTCGGAGATTACAGCTTGTGTTGCTCTTACGTCCAACAGATGGCGCTGTTTAAAAAAAACAAAACATGTTTTTTCCTGTTCCAGGTGAGGCATGTATAAAGGAGGTATATAAAAAGACGCGCCTAGTTGAATGCAACGTTGTGTCAGAATTTCAAAGCAATCGGTAAAGAGGTTTCGAAGATTTCTCTCACATGAAAAACACAGTTTAAAAAAAGCATGCGTTTTACCGTCACAGACGTGACATCTATATTATATGTATTTAAAAACCTGCTCGGATGCGAATAGAACGTTGTGTGAAAATTTCAAACCAATCGGTGAAGAACTTTTGGAGATTGGCGATTATGAATAAACGAACATTTCTATTTTTATTTATATAGATATATATTCAAATCAAATTCATTACTTCTTTTTCAACAGCATTTGTTGTTGTTTTAGATTTAGTTACTTAGAACGACATGTCCATGTAGCACGGGCTATAGTGAGCCCGTAAACCTCCAGCAGCAAATCCAACCTAACTATATATCCACCATCTCTGATATCCGTCTTAAGTTGCAGGTCACCTGATCCTCTCCTGATATTCCCGGCTAATAGGTATATCATCCTAGACGTTTATCATAATAAATACCTTTCCTTTCTTAGTCCGAAGATGAATCTGGTCTTACGTCTTGTGGTGTTAACAATAGGTACCTGCTTGAAGATAGCAGGATGTATTCTGCTGCTGATCCTTGAGATGGTTATGTGTGACAGGGAACAGAGACGGCAGGATACGGCAGGTCCAGGCGAGGACACTGGTGATGGAGACACAACCCTCTCGGTAGTGAAGGAGGTGCACGAGGACAATGGTGATGGAGACACAACCCTCTCGGTAGTGAAGGAGGTGCACGAGGACAATGGTGATGGAGACACAACCCTCTCGGTAGTGAAGGAGGTGCACGAGGACAATGGTGATGGAGACACAACCCTCTCGGTAGTGAAGGAGGTGCACGAGGACAATGGTGATGGAGACACAACCCTCTCGGTAGTGAAGGAGGTGCACGAGGACAATGGTGATGGATTAATAGATGATAATAAACAGGAAAAAAACACAAAGCCGTTACGAAGACATAGCTAAATTAATTAAGAGCAAGAAAGCCGCCAAAAAGAAAGCCAAAAGAACAAATTATGGGAGATTTAGATATTATCTGGCTGAAGAAAATGGCGGACTTGAGTCCCACTTCACACAGGAGGAAATAGACCGTAATAAAAACGCCATCCAGAACTATGACAAAAATAAATAAAAATTGGTGTGATGACGGAGGGTCAACGCTGTGATGCTGTGACGGAGCGTCAGGGTGGGGGGGGGGGGGGGGGGAGCCTTGAGCGCTGAGTGGACAGCTCTTCGGATTCGTAGTCCTGAGGTTCCGGGTTCGATCCCCGCGCGGAGGTGGACAGAAATGGGCAGAATTTATTTTACCCTGATGCCTCTGTTCACCTACATATAAATAGGTACCTGGGAGTTGGACAGCTGCTACGGGCTGCTTCCTCGTGTGTGTGTGTGTGTGTGTACTCTTCTCTTCTGCTTCTCCTCTGGGGGGGGGGGGACCTGTGGGGTCTGGGGTGAGCGGGAGCTGAGGATCTGGTATGGGGAGACTGGTGGAGGAGGAAGGGCTTGGGTTGGTTGGGAGATTGGGGGTGGGTGAAAGGGGGTAGGTTGGGGGAGTCAGAGGGGGAGGGTTGGGTGGGGTGTGAGGGGGAGGGATGGGTGGGGTGAGAGGGGAAGGGTTTGGGGGGGTAGACGGGGAGGCTGGGGGGGCGCATAAGGGGGGAGAGGCTTGGGCTGATGGAGGGGAAGGGGGGGAGGGGCGTGGGGGTAAAGGAAGGCTGAAGTGGGTGAGGAAGAGGGGAGGGATAAGAGGAGTGGTGGAGAGGGGAAGGCTTAGGTGAGGTGGTTGAGAGTGTGGGGTCTTAGGGGGTGTAAGGGAGAACGGAGGGCATGTGGGAGAAGGGAGAGCTTGGGGGATGGGGGAGAAGGGAGGTCCTGAGGAGAGGGGTGACTGGGAGGAGGGGGTAGGGTGCCCTAGGTGGGTACTTATTGCGGAGCTGTCAGGGAATGGGCGGGCACCGCTCCTGTGCCAGGTAAGTCCACCACGGGCTCACCATAGCCCGTGCTACTTGCCCCGCTCCTGTGTCAGGTAAGTTACGGGTTCACCATAGCCCGTGCTGCTGGGCACTTGTTCCGAGTAGCTGAATCTATAACTACAACAACAACAACAACGGATAGGCTACACGGGCACCACTCCTGATCCAGGTAAGTCCACTACGGGCTCACCATAGCCCGTACTACTTGGAACTTGTTCCGAGTAGCTGAATCTATAACAATAACAGCAGGAGATAGGGCAGGCAAATAGGGGTGTACTCACCTATTTGTGCTTGCGGGGGTTGAGCTGTGGCTCTTTGGTCCCGCCTCTTAACTGTCAATCAACTGGTGTACAGGTTCCTGAGCCTACTGGGCTCTATCATATCTCTATCTACGTACTCACCTAGATGTGTTTGCGGGGGTGGAGCTCTGGCTCTTTGAGAGGGAAGGTACTCCGGTGGATAGAGGAATACCTAAGCAACAGGAGACAACGAGTCTGTGTGAGGGGTGAGGTCTCAGATTGGCGAGACGTCACAAGTGGAGTCCCGCAGGGGTCAGTCCTTGGACCTATACTGTTTCTGGTATATGTAAATGATCTCCCAGAGGGTATAGATTCGTTCCTCTCACTGGCTAACATCAGAACGGCGTTCAGGAAACTGTGTAAGGAATCATTCAGAATCTTGTACACCACATATGTAAGACCAATCCTGGAGTATGCGGCCCCAGCATGGAGCCCGTACCTTGTCAAGCACAAGACGAAGCTGGAAAAAGTCCAAAGGTATGCTACTAGACTAGTCCCAGAACTAAGAGGCATGAGTTATGAGGAAAGGCTGCGGGAAATGCACCTCACGACACTGGAAGACAGAAGAGTAAGGGGGGACATGATCACAACCTACAAAATCCTCAGGGGAATCGACCGGGTAAACAAGGATGAACTTTTCAACACTGGTGGGACGCGAACAAGGGGACACAGGTGGAAGCTGAGTACCCAAATGAGCCACAGAGACGTTAGAAAGAACTTTTTCAGTGTCAGAGTAGTTAGCAAATGGAATGCATTAGGAAGTGATGTGGTGGAGGCTGACTCCATTCACAGTTTCAAATGTAGATATGATAGAGCCCAATAGGCTCAGGAATCTGTACACCAGTTGATTGACGGTTGAGAGGCGGGACCAAAGAGCCAGAGCTCAACCCCCGCAAGCACAATTAGGTGAGTACAATTAGGTGAGTACACACACACACACACACACACACACACACACACACACACACACACACACACACACACTCACGCACGCACGCACGCACACACACACACACACACACACACACACACACACACACACACTCACGCACGCACGCACACACACATACATACACACACACACTCACGCACGCACGCACACACAGGGTAGATAAAGACAATTTATTTAACACAAGGGGCACACGCACAAGGGGACACAGGTGGAAATTGAGTGCCCAGATGAGCCACAGAGATATTAGAAAGAACTTTTTAGTGTCAGAGTGATTGACAAATGGAGTGCATTAGGATGTGATGTGGTGGAGGCTGACTCCATACACAGTATCATATGTAGATATGATAGAGCCCAATAGGTTCAGGAACCTGTACACGGGTTGACAGCTGAGAAGTGGGACCAAAGAGCCGAAGCACAGCCCCGCCAGCACAACTAGGTGAGTACACATCCGACCAAGGGCTTAGCATCGTTGAGCACCGTGAACGTCCAGAGTCTTCAGAGGAAGACTACATTGTACATAATAGTGTTTATACCTCCCCTGTGTGATAAGATATATATTATTTATGGTGATGGTGACAATTATATTATTAAGTTTTTGCCTTTGTCTCCCTTCCCCTTTAATTTACTTGCGTTACGGAGCTCACCCCTTGAAAGCCACTACTAGCTTGGGGCCGGATACCCAAACTCTACTTACATCAGAGAAAGAACCCGGTTGCGACCCAATAGGGCCGTAACACACACACACACACAGTGTGGAGGAGGGAGCTGAACCTCACATCCCTGGAAAACAGATAAGTAAGGGGAGACATGATAACCACCTGCAAAATTATCAAGGGAATTGATAGGGTGGACAGACAAATTGTTAGCACGGGTGGAACACGAACAAGGGAACACAGGTGGAAACTGATGAGAATTATATATATATATATATATATATATATATATATATATATATATATATATATATATATATATATATATATATATATATATATATATATATATATATATATATATATATATATTACTAGCACACTGCTAGTAATATATATATATATATATAGCACACTGCCTCTATCACACTGCTACAGCTTTGTTCCGATCGGCTCGGAGACCCTCAGTTCATGGGGAAAATGTGCATTGAAGTTCCTGAAGGAATTGGGGGACAAATTGATCAGCGCTACAAAAGACCAGAGAGCAAAAAGTTTCTTGTTCCAGCGCCTCAGTGTTGCGATTCAGAGGAGAAATGCCTGTTGCGTCTTGGGCACTAGTCAAACTTCAGAGGAATTCGAGGAAGTGTTTGACTTGCAACAATGATCGAACCCGTCTGTGACATTCATCAATGTTTCCCATTGTTGTGTTTTTCAAGAGATCCATAACCTTTAATCACCTTTTTGCATTATTATTTTTGTATCAACCCATGTATATCTTATAACCATCAAATGCATAATTATATATATATATATATATATATATATATATATATATATATATATATATATATATATATATATATATATATATATATAAATAAGAGATGCAGTACTTTGTGCCGTACATCGCCATTTCCGGCCCCTCTACCCGTTCATACTATCGTGCTACAGTGGTGAGTCAAAACTGCTCTTTGGTGAACATGAAATCAGATCCTGTGAAGGTGTTCAGCATGGTGATCCTCTTGCTCCCCTTCTTTTCTGCTTAGTCTTAAAAGAAATCACCGAAAGCTTGTCTAGCGAGTTCAACATCTGGTTTTTGGATGATGGCACTATAGCTGGCACCGTAGACCATCTCTTGGCAGATATCAGGAAAATAAGGGAGCAAGAAGTAAACCTGGGTCTTGTCCTGAACCCTTCCAAGTGTGAAGTAGTCTCTTCCAACCCAGACATCGTAGCTAGAATAAGGTCTGTCTTGCCTGGAGCCCATGTCATTAGGGCCGAGAACAGCACCCTCCTTGGAGCCCCCCTTGGGTCTATCGCCATTGAGGAAATCCTTGACAAGAAAATCGCAGACCTTAGGAGGATGGAAGACAGAATAGGTGATATCGATGCCCACGATGCTTTTTATCTCCTCACCAACTGCCTATCCCTTCCCAGGCTAACCTACTTTCTTAGGTGCGCCCCATCTTACGACAGCCGAAAGCTTGAAGAGTATGACCTCTTACTGAAGACCATGCTGGAAAAAGTTGTTAACCTCTCCCTCAACGAATGCCAGTGGAAACAATCCACTCTTCCTGTTAGGCTCGGTGGCTTGGGTGTCCACACTGCTACCCAAATTGCTGTCCCAGCCTTCCTATCTTCCTCCTCAGCATCAGATGACCTGGTTAAGGAAATTCTACCTGACACCCTAAGTGATGTAGCGGGGATACAGGACCCCCACTACACGGAATACGACACGAAATGGGGTGCCATGGCAGACCCAGCACTCAGACCAGCCATGCCGAAAGCCAAGAAACAATCCAGTTGGGACAAAGACAAAGAAGCCACAGCTTTGCTGGAGGCAGCAACAACCCCCAGTGATCGTGCAGGCCTCACAGCTGTGCAGGCTCCCCATGCAGGGGACTTCCTTTTGGCAGTCCCAAGGTCTGCGACAGGCACACGTCTTAATCCGCAAGAGCTCCGTATTGCAGTCGCTCTCCGTCTTGCTGCCCCTATTCACACTGTTCATAGGTGTATTTGCGGCGAGGCAGATGCTGACGAATATGGATTGCATGGCCTGCACTGTGGAAAATCATGTGGTTGGCACACTAGACACGACGAAGTCAATGACATCATTAAAAGGAGCCTTGCCTCTGCTCAGTGTCCAGCAGAGAGAGAGCCCCGCAACCTACTGAACCGTGACTCTGTTAGCTTTGCCGGCCGACCAGACGGAATCACACTGCGACCGTGGAAGGGTGGCAGACAGTTGGCATGGGACTATGCTTGTGTATCCACCCTGGCAACCACATACATCAACCTCCCTGCCGGCACAGCAGGAGCCGCGGCGACACGCAGAGAAAGAGACAAGTCAGCCAAGTACAGGCAATTAGATCATCGGTACAACTTCGTTCCAATAGGGTCTGAGACCCTAGGCCCATGGGGAGAGAGAGCAAGAAGGTTTCTTAAGGATCTTGGTTCCAAGCTCATTGACACCACAAGGAACCTAGAGCAGCAAGTTTTCTCTTTCAGCGCCTCAGTGTCGCGATCCAGAGGGGGAATGCTCGCTGCATCCTCGGTTCCTGCCCGGCGTTGGAGGAGTTCGAGGAAATCTACAGCCTCTAGGAAGCGAACTTTTTTTGTGTCCTCTTAATGTTAATTTTTTGTATAAAATCAGATATGTAACTGTATAACCTTGCATAATAAAGTGTACACCATAAAAAAAGGGGGGTGGTAGGAGAAGCGAACACTCTTACGTATTCAGAGTTAAATGGCAAGTTTTTTCCTGAATGCTCTGTGTTCCCTTCTCTGAGGCTGAGGGTCCCTATAATTGCACCAGAGGTGGTACCTCCCTATATATATATATATATATATATATATATATATATATATATATATATATATATATATATATATATATATATTATATATATATATATATATATATATATATATATATATATATATATATATATATATATATATATTTATATATATACTAGCTGTACCCGGCCATGCGTTGCTGTGGCTCAGCAACGCATGTGCGTGGCTGAGCCACAGCAACCTTCCCCTGTCTCCTAGTCCTCCCCACCATTCCCCCTGTCCCTCGTTCTCCCAACCATTCCTCACTCCCATGTCCCCTCGACCTCCCAACCATTCCTCACTCCCTCGTCCCTTTTTCCTCCCCATCATCCCCCTCCCCATCATCCCCTCATCCTCCTAACCTTTCCCCACTCCACCATCCCCTTGTCCTCCCCACTATCTCCCACTCCCCCGTTTCCTCGTCATCCCCCGTCCCTTCGTCCTCCCCACTATCTCCCACTTCCCCGTCCCCTCGTGCCTCCTACTATTCTCCCCCCTCTCCCATCCTCTCGTCCTTCCCACCATTCCACACTCCCTCGTCTGATGATCAAATGACCTGATGTTTCCACCAGAAAATTGGGAACATCAACTGGTCTGGGTCTAGATTCACGAAGAAGTTACGCAAACATTTACGAACCTGTACATCCTTTCTCAATCTTTGGCGGCTTTGTTTACAATTATTAAACAGTTAATGAGCTCCGAAGCCCCAGGAGGCTTTTTATAACAATAACAACAGTTGATTGGGAAGTTTTATGCTTGTAATCTGTTTAATAAATGTAACCAAAGCCATCAAAGATTCAGGAACGATGTACACGTTCGTAAATACTTGCGTAACTGCTTCGTGAATCTGGCCCCAGCTGTTCCCATCACTGAAGTATAAGAAAAACAGTTAAAAAAACAAAATGAAAAATAATGAAAATGTAAAAAAATAAGCTATACTCACGAAATGAACAGTATGGTAAACAAAACAGCTCAATTCCAATGCAATGTCACACAAAATAATTAACTCAAAATGAACATAAATCAAAATTTATGATAATTCTATTTATCAATGAAATCGGAAACATTGAAATGGAATCATAACATATTTAGTATAGCATGTGTTCGTCGTATGTGCAACAGATGGCGCTGTTTAAGAAAAAAACGCATGTTTTTACCTGTCACAGGGCTGGCATCTATATAGGAGGTATATCAAAACACGAGTGAATTCGAATGGATTGTTGTGTAAACAATTCAAAGCAATCGGTGAAGAACTTTTTGAGATTGGCGATTATGAATAAACGAACATTTCTATTTTTATTTATATAGATATATATTCAAATCAAATTCATTACTTCTTTTTCAACAGCATTTGTTGTTGTTTTAGATTTAGCTACTTAGAACGACATGTCCATGTAGCACGGGCTATAGTGAGCCCGTAAACCTCCAGCAGCAAATCCAACCTAACTATATATCCACCATCTCTGATATCCGTCTTAAGTTGCAGGTCACCTGATCCTCTCCTGATATTCCCGGCTAATAGGTATATCATCCTAGACGTTTATCATAATAAATACCTTTCCTTTCTTAGTCCGAAGATGAATCTGGTCTTACGTCTTGTGGTGTTAACAATAGGTACCTGCTTGAAGATAGCAGGATGTATTCTGCTGCTGATCCTTGAGATGGTTATGTGTGACAGGGAACAGAGACGGCAGGATACGGCAGGTCCAGGCGAGGACACTGGTGATGGAGACACAACCCTCTCGGTAGTGAAGGAGGTGCACGAGGACAATGGTGATGGAGACACAACCCTCTCGGTAGTGAAGGAGGTGCACGAGGACAATGGTGATGAAGACACAACCCTCTCGGTAGTGAAGGAGGTGCACGAGGACAATGGTGATGGAGACATAACCCTCTCGGTAGTGAAGGAGGTGCACGAGGACAATGGTGATGGAGACACAACCCTCTCGGTAGTGAAGGAGGTGCACGAGGACAATGGTGATGGAGACACAACCCTCTCGGTAGTGAAGGAGGTGCACGAGGACAATGGTGATGGAGACAACACTCTCGGTAGTGAAGGAGGTGCACGAGGACAATGGTGATGGAGACACAACCCTCTCGGTAGTGAAGGAGGTGCACGAGGACAATGGTGATGGATTAATAGATGATAATCAACAGGAAAAAACACAAAGCCGTTACGAAGACATAGCTAAATTAATTAAGAGCAAGAAAGCCGCCAAAAAGAAAGCCAAAAGAACAAATTATGGGAGATTTAGATATTTTTTGGCTGAAGAAAATGGCGGACTTGAGTCCCACTTCACACAGGAGGAAATAGACCGTAATAAAAACGCCATCCAGAACTATGACAAAAATAAATAAAAATTGGTGTGAGCGGTGACGGAGCGTCAGCGCTGTGATGCTGTGACGGAGCGTCAGCGCTGTGATGCTGTGACGGAGCGTCAGCGCTGTGATGCTGTGACGGAGCGTCAGCGCTGTGATGCTGTGACGGAGCGTCAGCGCTGTGATGCTGTGACGGAGCGTCAGCGCTGTGATGCTGTGACGGAGCGTCAGGGGGGGGGGGGGGGGGAAGCCTGACAGGGGCCTTGACCTCTGAGTGGACAGCTCTTCGGATTCGTAGTCCTCAGGTTCCGGGTTCGATCCCCGCGCGGAGGTGGAAAGAAATGGGCAGAATTTATTTTACCCTGATGCCTCTGTTCACCTACATATAAATAGGTACCTGGGAGTTGGACAGCTGCTACGGGCTGCTTCCTCGTGTGTGTGAGTGTACTCCTCTCTTCTGCTTCTCCTCTGGGGGGGACCTGTGGGGTCTGGGGTGAACGGGAGCTGAGGATCTGGTATGGGGAGACTGGTGGAGGAGGAAGGGCTTGGGTTGGTTGGGAGATTGGGGGTGGGTGAAAGGGGGTAGGTTGGGGGGAGTGAGAGGGTGAGGGTTGGGTTGGGTGAGAGGGGAAAGGTTGGGGGGGGGGAGACGGGGAGGCTGGGGGGGGGGCGCATAGGGGAGGAGAGGCTTGGGCGGATGGAGGGGAAGGGGGGGTGGGGGCTTGGGGGGCGTGGGGGTAAAGGAAGGCTGAAGTGGGTGAGGAAGAGGGGAGGGATAAGGGGAGTGGTGGAGAGGGGAAGGCTTAGGTGAGATGGTTGAGAGTGTGGGGTCTTAGGGGGTGTAAGGGGGAACGGAGGGCTTGGGGGTGTGAGAGACGGGAGGGCATGTGGGAGAAGGGAGAGCTTGGGGGATGGGGGAGAAAGGAGGTCCTGAGGAGAGGGGTGATTGGGAGGAGGGGGTATGGTGCACTAGGTGGGTACTTATTGCGGAGCTGTCAGGGAATGGGCGGGCACCGCTCCTGTGCCAGGTAAGTCCACCACGGGCTCACCATAGCCCGTGCTACTTGCCCCGCTCCTGTGTCAGGTAAGTTACGGGCTCACCATAGCCCGTGCTGCTAGGAACTTGTTCCGAGTGCTGACTCTATAACAACAACAACAACAACAGGGGATGGGCTACACGGGCACCACCCCTGATCCAGGTAAGTCCACTACGGGCTCACCATAGCCCGTGCTACTTGGAACTTGTTCCGAGTAGCTGAATCTATAACAACAACAGCAGGAGATAGGGCAGGCAAATAGGTGTGTACTCACCTATTTGTGCTTGCGAGGGTTGAGCTGTTGCTCTTTGGTCCCGCCTATTAACTGTCAATCAACTGGTGTACAGGTTCCTGAGCCTACTGGGCTCTATTATATCTCTATGTACTCACCTAGTTGTACTCACCTATTTGTGTTTGCGGGGGTTGAGCTCTGGCTTTTTGGTCCCGCCTCTCAACCGTCAATCAACAGGTGTACAGATTCCTGAGCCTATTGGGCTCTATCATATCTACACTTGAAACTGTGTATGGAGTCAGCCTCCACCACATTACTTCCTAATGCATTCCATTTGTCAACCACTCTGACACTAAAAAAGTTCTTTCTAATATCTCTGTGGCTCATTTGGGTACTCAGTTTCCAACTGTGTCCCCTTGTGCGTGTGCCCCTTGTGTTAAATAGCCTGTCTTTATCTACCCTATCAATACCCTTCCATTTTAGTCTTATGCTTGACTAGATATGGACTCCATGGTGGAGCCGCATACTCCAAGATTGGTCTGACATATGTGGTATATAATGTTCTGAAAGATTCCATACACAAGTTTCTAAAGGCCGTTCTTATGTTAGCGAACCTGGCATATGCTGCTGATGTTATCCTCTTGATATGAGCTTCAGGGGACAGGTCTGGCGTGATATCAACCCTCTGGTCTTTCTCTCTCTCTGACTCTTGAAGTATTTCACCTCCCAAATGGTACCTTGTATCTGGTCTCATGCTTCCTACCCCTATCTTCATTACATTACATTTGCTTGGGTTAAACTCTAACAGCCATTTGTTCGACCATTCCTGCAGCTTGTCCAGGTCTTCTTGAAGCCTTAAGCTGTCCTCCTCTATCTTAATCCTTCTCATAATTTTGGCGTCGTCAGCAAACATTGAGAGAAATGAGTCTATACCCTCTGGGAGATCATTTGCGTATATCAGAAACAGGATAGGTCCGAGTATAGAGCCCTGTAGGACTCCACTGGTGACTTCACGCCAGTCTGAGGTCTCACCTCTCACTGTAACTCTCTGCTTCCTATTGTTTAGATACTCCCTTATCCACTGGAGCGCCCTACCAGTTACTCCTGCCTGTTTCTCCAGCTTATGCATCAACCTTTTATTGGGTACTGTGTCAAAGGCTTTCCGACAGTTTAAAAAAATGCAGTCCGCCCACCCTTCTCTTTCTTGTTTAATCTTTGTCACCTGATCGTAGAATTCTATCAAGCCTGTAAGGCAAGAATTACCCTCCCTGAACCCATGTTGATGGGTTGTCACGAAGTCTCTGCTCTCCAGATGTGTTACTAGGTTTTTTCTCACAATCTTCTCCATCACCTTGCATGGTATACAAGTTAAGGACACTGGCCTGTAGTTCAGTGCCTCTTGTCTGCCACCCTTTTTGTATATTGGTACTACATTCGCAGTCTTCCATATTTCTGGTAGGTCCCCCGTTTCCAGTGACCTACTATACACTATGGAGAGTGGTAAGCAAAGTGCTCCTGCACACTCTTTCAATACCCATGGCGAGATTCCATCCGGCCCAACAGCTTTTCTCACATCCAGCTCCAATAGGTGCTTCTTGACCTCATCTCTTGTAATATCGAACCTATCCAAGGGCACCTGGTTTGCTGCCACCTCTTCTAGCGCTGTGACATCTCCCTGTTCTATTGTAAGGACCTCCTGGAACCTTTTGTTGAGTTCTTCACACACCTCTTTGTCATTCTCTGTGTACCTGTCCTCGCCCACCCTAAGTTTCATCACCTGTTCCTTCACTGTTGTCTTCCTCCTGATGTGACTGTGTAGTAGCTTTGGTTCGGTCTTGGCTTTATTAGTTATCATATTTTCATACCTTTTCTAAGCTGCTCTTCTCACACTAACATACTCGTTCCTGATTCTCTGGTATCTCTCTCTTCTTTCTGGTGTTCTGTTATTATGGAAGTTCCTCCATGCCCTTTTGTTCAGCTCCTTTGTTTTCATACATTCCCTATTAATCCACGGATTCTTCCTTTGCTTCTCTGTTTTTTCCTGTTGGGCTGGGACAAACCTGCTTACAGCCTCCTGACATTTTTGGGTGACATAGTCCATCATGTCTTGTACGGACTTGGTTCCGAGTTCTGTTTCCCAATGTATATCCCATAGGAATTTATTCATTTCCTCATAGTTTCCCTTTCGGTACGCCAGCCCTTTGGTTCCCAGTTCTTTTTTGGGGGTGATAATTTCCAGCTCAACCAGGTACTCAAAGCTCCATACACTATGATCACTCATTCCCAATGGGGCTTCCAACTTAAATTTCCTTATATCCGACTCATTTATGGTAAATATCAGATCAAGCAAGGCTGGTTCATCCCCTCCTCTCATTCTTGTCGGTCTCTTGACGTGTTGACTTAGAAAGTTTCTTGTTGCCACATCCAGCAGCTTAGCTCTCCATGTGTCTGGGCCTCCATGTGGGTCTCTGTTCCCCCAATCTATTTTCTCATGGTTGAAGTCTCTCATGATTAGTAGTCTGAATCCATTCCTGCTAGCCACAGAAGCTGCTCTCTCTATTATATTGATGGTGGCCATGTTGTTTCTATCATATTCCTGTCTGGGTCTTCTGACATTTCGTGGGGGGGTTATATATGACTACTACTATAATTTTCTGTCCTCCAGTTGCTATGGTGCCTGATATGTAGTCACTGAAACCTTCACAGTTCTGCATTATCATCTCTTCGAAACTCCAACCTTCTCTTAGTAGCAAAGCTACACCACCTCCTCCTCTCCCTTGTCTCTCTTTCCTCACTACATAGTAGCCCTGTGGAAACACTGCGTTTGTTATGATTTTCGTTAGCTTTGTTTCTGTGAGTGCTATTATGTCTGGGTTTTCTTCTAGTGCCCATTCTCCAAGTTCACTTGTTTTATTTGAAATCCCATCTCTGTTAGTGTACATCGCCTTGAAGCTCACTTTCTTCTGTTCATTTTTGGTGAAGGGCGAGCATGGTGGTGAAGGGCGAGCAAGGTGGTGAAGGGCGAGCAAGGTGGTGAAGGGCGAGCATGGTGGTGAAGGGCGAGCAAGGTGGTGAAGGGCGAGCATGGTGGTGAAGGGCGAGCATGGTGGTGAAGGGCGAGCAAGGTGGTGAAGGGCGAGCAAGGTGGTGAAGGGCGAGCATGGTGGTGAAGGGCGAGCATGGTGGTGAAGGGCGAGCAAGGTGGTGAAGGGCGAGCAAGGTGGTGAAGGGCGAGCAAGGTGGTGGTGAAGGGCGAGCAAGGTGGTGAAGGGCGAGCAGGTGGTGAAGGGCGAGCAAGGTGGTGAAGGGCGAGCATGGTGGTGAAGGGCGAGCAGGTGGTGAAGGGCGAGCATGGTGGTGAAGGGCGAGCATGGTGGTGAAGGGCGAGCAGCGGTGGTGAAGGGCGAGCAAGGTGGTGAAGGGCGAGCAAGGTGGTGAAGGGCGAGCAGGTGGTGAAGGGCGAGCAAGGTGGTGAAGGGCGAGCAAGGTGGTGAAGGGCGAGCAAGGTGGTGAAGGGCGAGCATGGTGGTGAAGGGCGAGCAAGGTGGTGAAGGGCGAGCAAGGTGGTGAAGGGCGAGCAAGGTGGTGAAGGGCGAGCAAGGTGGTGAAGGGCGAGCATGGTGGTGAAGGGCGAGCAAGGTGGTGAAGGGCCGAGCAGGTGGTGAAGGGCGAGCAAGGTGGTGAAGGGCGAGCAAGGTGGTGAAGGGCGAGCAAGGTGGTGAA